ATGACCGGCCTGGAGCTCGGAAATTCTGACTGGGAATATTTTTTGGCCAGTCACACAAATAAACATTTTTAAAATCCTCCTACCACTTCACATTGCCCAGTCAGCACATTCGATCACTAAAGCCATTGTTTATATACTCCCTAGTTACTGGTTCCTAGCTGGCTTCTCTTCCTGGCATGGCCTAATGTGTCCAGTCACTGGAGAAACAAACTGTTGCATTCTACTTAGTCGATTTCTGCACCTTTTTGCTGGGGTTGTGAAGAAACGCATAACATAAGGTTATAGTGTTGTTTAAAGTAAAAAGATGCTCTTTAAATTAGGGATGCACAGTATATTGGTATCAGTCCAATTAATAAATAAAAAACTGGACAGATATTAACAACTCGTGTCAAAAGGCAAAGGAAATGTAGACATAGTTCTCAACCCATATTTTCATATTAATAAATTACAAATATGTCAGCATAAACGTGCTTGAAATCTGAAGAAAAACGTTTAGAAAATGATGTTCATCAAGCCTCTTAACTTCTTGCTGCTGTTTGCAGAGATCCTGTTCCATAAAGCTCATTTAGACGAAGGAAGCAGCTGCACACACATGTTCCAGTCTCCTTTCATTGAGTTGATTGAATGAGTAACAAGCAGCCTCACACCTGAGAGCTGTGATTGGGCACTGAGCCGGACAGGGCAGCCAACAGGGGAGTCAGGTGAGACCTCAGATTTGTTTTTTGTTTTTTTTTTTGTTTTTTTTTTCTTTTTTTTTTTTTTGGAAGATAATGGTTGAAGGAACTAACATCAAAATGAATCTGATTTCTCTAAAACTTCTATTTCTAGTTTCAGGACACATCTATGGCTAAAAAAAGGAACCCAATTCATTTAGAGTTCTGCATTAAGACATTTTGTTGATTTCTGTTTTAAAGTCAATCATCATACCACCAAAAATGACCCGACCTACTTTTTCATATAGAGGAGATTGTGTGTTGCTCTTTCTTCAGGCTAGCCATCATGGCAGATGTGGACCCAGACACTTTGCTGGAGTGGCTGCAGATGGGTCAGGGCGATGAGCGGGACATGCAGCTCATCGCCCTGGAACAGCTGTGCATGCTGCTGCTGATGTCGGACAACGTGGACCGCTGCTTTGAGACGTAAGGCGTTAAAACCCAGACATTTGCATTCCATCACGTGTGTGTGAGCTGGTGGCTCAGAGCGTCCCCTCTGCCTTTCCGTCCGTTAGATGTCCTCCTCGGACGTTCCTACCAGCACTCTGTAAGATCTTCCTGGACGAGAGCGCGCCAGACAACGTGCTGGAGGTGACGGCCCGCGCCATCACCTACTACCTGGACGTGTCGGCAGAGTGCACCCGAAGGATTGTGGGCGTGGACGGAGCCATCAAGGCTCTGTGTAACCGCCTGGTGGTGGTGGAACTCAACAACAGGACCAGCAGAGACCTGGCGGAGCAGTGTGTGAAGGTAGAACGCCACAGAGGGCTGGGTGACAATAGACGTGATCAACATCAGTCTGCTAGAATATTCAATATATAGAATATTTATGAACTCTGACCCAGAACTGAACAGCATTCTGGGAGACATGGACAGAGAAAAGGTTTTAGCTGTTCAACTTCTTATGGCTAGCTAAGCAAGACTGGTGGCATCAACTAACTCACTCATTCTTTGGTTACCTAGCAACAACCTGTTGGGTACATTGCGCTACCTTATTTTTAGGCAGTCTCACAACTGCCTAAAAATAAAAACCAACGGCGTGGAGAGAAAACTTGAAATGCCACCAGTGTGGCTGTATTTCAGATATTTGAAATGAAAAATGAATCATTATTTATCGATATCGACTGATATGAAACACTTCTACTGTGATACGTTTTTCAGCCTACTTCTAAGATTAGCGATTAGCTAGTGTACTGGAGTGATGAATTGTGAGGACATTTTTTCAAAAGTGACTGTTCAATAGACACTAGACACTGTCGAAGTACAGTCTGTACAGTTCTTTGACATTTTGTGTCAAAGTGCACTCCAGTTATAGTCGGTGAGATTTTATCTGGAGAAGTAAGAATGCACATCCTTAAAAAGTCTTAAGTTCACATATTTAAAATTAGGGCCTTAAAATGTCTTACATGAAAAAAAAATATCCAGTACATTTTACAAGCAGTGTGTTTAAACCACATGGTGCAAAAATGCACCATTTCTGGAAACCTTTACAGAGATGCAGAAGTGCAGCAAAGACCTAAATCTGTTCCACTAAGGTCACATCAAAAACTAGTTGGTTAATACAAGTTCAATTTTACAACAGGAACTGTATAGTACTAATGGGTGTTTTAAGACTGAGGAAGTGGTGCCTTCCTCTGTGGAATGCAACCCACTCTGGGTGGAATCATGGAGAACATTTAAGTTAAAAAATGTCTAATTGAGGGTTTCCATTCTTCAGTTGTGAGAAATTGTTTCCTGACAAACTGTTTGACGTCCATGTCTTTGAACCCATGTGCCTGTGTGCAGGTGTTGGAGTTGATCTGTACCAGAGAGTCTGGTGCTGTCTTTGAGGCTGGTGGTCTGAACTGCGTTCTCAGCTTCATCAGAGACAGCGGCCACCTGGTCCACAAGGACACCCTCCACTCCGCCATGGCCGTGGTGTCCCGCCTGTGCAGCAAGATGGAGCCTCAAGACTCCTCTCTGGAGACTTGCGTTGAGTCCTTGTCCAGCCTCCTCAAACACGAGGACCACCAGGTCACTACACGGCAGGCGGTTGTTAATGAAACCTTGAGGTAAGGTTTTGGATGGTATAATCTTGAACTTGGTGTTTCCTGCAGGTTTCAGATGGAGCTCTGCGCTGCTTCGCCTCGCTGGCTGATCGGTTCACTCGAAGAGGAGTGGACCCGGCTCCTTTAGCTAAACACGGCCTGACGGAGGAGCTGCTGTCCCGCATGGCGGCCGCCGGTGGCACCGTGTCGGGCTCTTCCTCATCCTGTAAACCGGGTCGGCCTTCCACAGGCGCGACCCCCTCCGCCGCTGACTCCAAACTGAGTAACCAGGTGTCGACCATCGTCAGCCTCCTATCCACACTGTGTAGGGGCTCTCCACTGGTCACACATGTAGGTCCACACCATTTCTCTCATGCTTGTATAGAGGAGGAGAACAGGTTTGTGTGTGCTCATGCTAACCTCCATCCCGTGTTCAGGACTTGTTGCGGTCGGCTCTGCCTGACTCAATGGAGTCTGCGCTGGGAGGAGATGAGAGGTGTGTGCTCGATACCATGCGGCTGGTGGACCTCCTGCTGGTGCTCCTGTTTGAAGGAAGGAAGGCGTTGCCAAAGTCCACAGCAGGATCAGCAGGCCGGATCCCTGGACTGCGACGTCTGGACAGCTCTGGAGAGCGATCCCACCGACAGCTCATTGACTGTATCCGCAGCAAGGACACCGACGCTCTGATCGATGCCATCGATACGGGAGGTGAGCCTGCTTTCATGTTGTTCATTATCCAGGTTGGTTACCAGGCTACTAACCAATCACCAACATTCTGGCATTAAAGCTGTACTTTTTAACTGTTGTAAAAATGTTTTGTTTTTTTTGTTTGTTTGTTTTTTTCCACATTTGCTAAAACTGTCACTATGTTGTTACAGTATAACATGAGACAGCTAATCTGTGAAAAGACAGAGCTCCTCCACCTCCTGCTAGTGCTTCTACTGCCATCTGCAGAAATACACCGCTTGGTCAGAAATAACTAATCAGAGCCAGGAGGAGGGTCTCAGCGGTGACAATCAAGTTCGTAGACACGCTGCCATTTTGCTGTAGTTGTGGAAATAGTGGAGAAGCAACTTAACTGTTACAGGAACACAGTTGATCTGCCATCTTTGGTGGTCATGCTAACTAGCTTTAGCGTTCCTGGCAGGCTCTGTTGTGGTGAACCAGCGCAACACAGAGCAAGGGGGAGGGAACGAGCAGCAGGTACACAAGGTTGATTGACAGCACTGAAACCCTCCTCCCGTCTCTGATTGGTTGTGTCTGGGTGAGTGTATTTCTACAGATGGCAGTAAGACCACAAGGAGAAGGCAGAGGAGCTTGTTTTTTTTTTTTTTGTTTTTTTTTTATTTTCTATTTTGCTTAATATTAACAGCAAAATGTGTTTCTTATGTACAGTTTTGGTTTAATTAATGGTCTGTTTTCTTTCAGCAAATGGCCTTTTTTAGAGCTTTTCTTTAAATAATTGAACTAAATTAGTTGATGTTATTTCAACAATCGACTAAATAAAGAAGTGTCAGAGAATATAGAAATGTAAAGCTCTACAAAAAATGGCTTTACCTTTTTTTAAAGACCTGTGGACTTGGTTCTGCAGCCAAGTTTGACCAGTTATAATGAAATGTGCTCTCTCAGCTTTTGAGGTCAACTTCATGGACGATGTTGGACAGACGCTGCTCAACTGGGCTTCAGCTTTCGGCACACAGGAAATGGTAAAGAAACACAAACACAAGCTAAAGTTTTCCATCAGACATGGTTTTTGCAAACATGCTGAGCAGCTCTGTGCTTGTCGTTCCAGGTGGAGTTTTTATGTGAGAGGGGTGCAGATGTCAACAGAGGTCAAAGGTCATCCTCGTTACACTATGCTGCATGCTTCGGGCGGCCACAGGTAGCCAAGGTAAACAGAGGCACAGTGAAAAGAAACCATGTCAGTCAGACTGAAGCGTGGAGGCGTGTCAGTGTGATCCTGTGGGTTTGTCTCATGTCAGACTTTGCTGCGTCACGGAGCCAACCCAGACCTGAGGGATGAGGATGGAAAGACCCCCCTGGACAAAGCCAGAGAGAGGGGACACAGTGAAGTGGTGGCTATACTGCAGTCACCTGGTAAGTTCAACCCATAAACCAGCTTTTAGATGAAATATTGAAGTGGTGCTGAGCAGCAGCGTCTGTAAAGGGACAGTATTACGTAAAATTGATCCTTTTGAGATGTTCATAATGTTACAATGTAATTTCCTCATCAAACTCATACCTGGAGTGTTCCCATGACTCTTTCATGGATGTTTGAGAAATCCTTTAATCTCCATGGCAACCATTCAGCTGTGCAAAACGCCTGGGTGGACCTAGCTCCGCCTTTGAGGCGTAGCTCCTCCTCAGAACTGCAGTTTCCAAGTTTCTGCCTCACTGAGCAGTTGCTAATAGTAATTAGCAGCTCTGCTGAGCTACTTCTCAGAGCATAGCTGGTAAAGTATTGTCAGTTTTCTTTTAAGTCGTATTTGATATAAACAGCATTTTTCTAACAACTGGAGGTAACACATAGACTTCATAGTGCTATAAAATGGCACAATGTGCCTGGAAACTACATAATACTGCCCCTTGAAAAACTTTAATATGTGTATGATTGAAGTAGATCATTTTCTGAGAAACATAACAAACTGGGACATGTTAACGGACTCTTAGATGTTTCTCTTCCAGGGGACTGGATGTGTCCGATGAACAAGGCTGATGACAAGAGGAAGAAGGATGCAAGTAAGGAGGAAGAGGAGAGCACTGAACCCAAAGGAGATCCAGAAATGGCTCCCTACTACCTTAAGAGACTTCTGCCTGTTTTTGCACAAACCTTTCAGCAAACCATGCTGCCTTCTATTAGGTAAACTCATCCACAATTCCACTGTGCATCCACTGATTTTTGTAACCTTAAGTTAAAAAACTAAACGTAGTTCTGGTAGTTGTTGCTGACCATGCAAAATTAAAGTAAACCTCAACTTGGATCAGAACTCCAATGGCTTGTATCTTTATTTTTCACAAACAAACTCATGTGAAAGAGCTTCCAACTGGTCAAAATGAATAAAATGAAAAAAAAAAATATATATATATATATATATATATATATTTATTTATTTTGTGGTTTTTAGGAAAGCAAGTCTGGCTCTGATCCGAAAGATGGTTCACTACAGCAGTGAAGTTCTGCTGAGGGAGGTGTGTGAGAGCGAGACGGGACACAACCTGCCCACAGTCCTGGTGGAGATCACTGCCACTGTCCTTGACCAGGAGGTAAGCTACAGGAGAGCAGGGATTACAGGGGCTCAGCCCTTGTAAACAGCAGACACTCACCTTAAGCTGCTGAACTCAGGCTGCAGAAAACAGAGCAGCAAATGAATAACGTATCAACTTTCTGTCTGATAAATCTAATTGTTTCTCTGAAAGACGCACAGACAAAATAAAGGGCTGCTCAATTATATATAAATATTTAAATCATTCATTTATTATGGAACAGTAGTCCATGTATCCCACCTGAAGCATGGTGCACTATATTGACCATAAGCAATGTAGTGTCTTTTAACCAACTCGACTGGAAATTAACGTTAATGTATTACAAGATTTTTTTCTGAGAAGGACCCCTGAGCTGCAAACTGTTAAAGTGGCTTTTACTAGTTGTCCTTGGGAATTAAACTCCAAATATTCTTATGTAATCTAATGCTGCATATTGATTATTAACGAGGAATTAAAGCAATAAATGTGTTTACATATTAAGACGCATTAAAAAAAAAGCCCAAGAAGTCTGCAGTCGGTTCATCTGTTCTTACCTGTTAGGAAGTTTAAATTTGATGGGTTCACTTATTTCATTGTCTCTTAATATTAATTGGACATCGTCTGACATTGATACATATATTAATGCTTGATCATAATGGGAGAACAGGTTTTTTTTTCCTACACTTTTATGTAAAATATGTAGCATGCATAACTCCCAGACATGTGAAATTCAGTCTTATTAGACACTCATGTAATGTTTCTGGATTGAGCTGTTTGGTGTTTGTCAGGACGACGACGACGGTCACCTCCTGGCTCTGCAGATCATCAGGGATCTTGTGGACAAAGGTGGAGATGTTTTTCTCGACCAACTTGCTCGACTGGGGGTCATCAACAAGGTGTCAACTCTGGCTGGCCCTGCATCTGATGATGAGAATGAAGATGAAGCAAAGCCTGAGAAGGTAGACCCAGAAACCAGTGCTGCCATCCAATTGAAACATCACTCCCACCCCCTTTGTTTATTTTTGAAATAATTGATCCTTGAATGCTTTGCAAATGTTAGTGTCTTTAGATCTGGTCAGTAATATGAAAACCTGATAATCCCGGTGGCAGGGGCACTAGTATGTTTTTTTTTGTATTAAAACTTTTTTTATTTTAATTTTTTTCTAAATAAAAAAAAAAAAGTTTTAATACAAAAACTTGTATTAAAAAACTTGGTGTGTTTCCAAGCAAATTTATTTTCGAAACTGCAAATCGCACAATTATATGATCAATAGAAACGCAGTTATTGTTACTGGTTTATCAAAAACCTCTTTAAAATAAACAAACAACGCTTGGTAGGGGGGCAAGCCTGGAGGCCTGCCAGACTTACGATACACTGAGGGAAGCCCCGTACACTGTTTGAATTGGTAAACTGTAAGGGTTTTCCCTGCAGGAGGACGAGGTTCAGGAAGACGCTAAGGAAGTCCAGCAGGGGAAGCCGTACCACTGGAGGGACTGGTCAATCATTCGAGGCAGAGACTGTCTCTACATATGGTCGGATGCTGCTGCCCTGGAGCTCTCTAATGGTTCCAATGGCTGGTTCCGATTCATCTTGGACGGGAAACTTGCCACCATGTACTCTAGTGGGAGTCCGGAGGGGGGCTCTGACAGCTCAGGTACTTTGGATCTGCTTTTATGTCACTCAGTCACTCAATTTGTGGTTTGTTTAATCGCTCACCTCCCTCATCCTGCAGAGTCTCGTAGCGAGTTCCTGGAGAAGCTGCAGCGGGCGAGGAGCCAGGTGAAACCTGTAACAGCCAGCCAACCCATCCTGTCCGTCGTCGGCCCCACCAAGCTGACAGTTGGGAACTGGTCCCTGACCTGCCTCAAAGACGGAGAGATCGCCATCCATAACTCTGATGGACAGCAGGCCACCATCCTGAAGGAGGACCTACCGGGCTTCGTGTTCGAGTCCAACAGAGGAACCAAACACTCATTCACTGCAGAGACGTCACTGGGTGGGTCTTGGTCAACGATTCAAAATGTCAACAAATCTCAATGTTCAGAAGTTGCAGCATTGCTGATGACACAATCTCCCAGTCCCCTCCCACCCCAACACACAACTCATTGTTGTTTTGTTTTTTATCTTTAGTTAATTTTTAGTAAAAACAACTACAAATTTTTATCAAAAAATGTGAACCCAAGATGTCCAAGGTCCAAAAAAAAAAAAAAAGAGAAAAAGAAAAGTAAATGGTCCTTCCAGCATTTCAGTCTTTGAGGAGGTTATGGGGTCAAAAAAAACCCTGACAGGTAAAAGAAGGTCAATTAGTAATCAGCAGTAAATAAAATAAAATAAATAATATAGTTGTACTGTTTCAAAATTACATCCATGGATTAAATTAATAAGTTTCACAGTTTTACTTGTTCAATAATTCATTAATCATATGTTGCACAACAACCATCAAGTCATTAAAGCCCAGGCATTGACGCTACAAGCATCAGCATTTCTAAAGATGTCAAAAACATCATAGACGAGGCAGTGGGCAGTTTAGCTGAATTGCTAAGGACCCTCAAAACATCAACTAAAAATAATTTATTATCCTACTTAAAAATCTTAAATGGTTTTATATGCAAACTTTATCAAAATTAAACATACCCCACTGTGGAGTTCAGTGAACGCCAAAGTTTTAAAATGGACAAAACAGGAAGTAAAAACAGATCTGAGCGATAAAATGAGCAACTCTCAACAGATTGATCCAAACATCTTGAATGTCAAGCAGCTCACCACTGAATCTGGTAACTCCACATCTAGTTAGCTTCGAGTTCGCTCCAGCCATGCACAGCCGTCACTTTTCTATCAGCGCCCCCAGGTGGCTGGATGAATGAACAGGTTGGTGTACATGTCAGCAGCCGTTTTCCTGATGTGGCGCCCCCTCTAAAGAGCTCTGTCGCCCCACACTGTGAGAAGCCCTGAGTGTTTAGCTATGTTGCTGCATGTGTGCAGGCTCAGAGTTTGTTACTGGCTGGACGGGGAAGCGGGGCAGGAAGCTCAAGTCCAAACTGGAGAAGACGAAGCAGAAGGTGAAGAGCATGGCCAGGGAGCTGTACGACGACCACTTCAAAGCTGTGGAGAGCATGCCCAGAGGGGTGGTGGTCACTCTGAGGAACATTGCCACGCAGCTGGAGTCTGCGTGGGAGCTGCACATTAACAGACAGGTAGACGAACTCTGCCACACAACCTGTTGCCCACAGAGCACATCCCAGACATAAGGAGTGATCTGTGTGTGTGATGTTTGCTGTTGTAGTGTCTTGAAGGGGAGAACACGTGGAGGGACCTGATGAAAACTGCTTTAGAGAACCTGATTGTGGTCCTGAAGGATGAAAACACCATTTCGCCATATGAAATGTGTAGCAGTGGCCTCGTCCAGGCTCTGTTCACTGTCCTCAGTAATGTGAGTATCTAATGAAAGCAGCGACTTTAACTGTAAAAACTGACACGTGCTAACAGGACTGCTTCTGGTTGGCTGAATGCTACAAGTTCTATGGAGATGGAAGCTCCAGCCTTCACCAGGAGGGAATGGAGCGTAAACTCTAAATCAGATTTTTTGTTTTGAATCAGTTCCTCATTGAACTTAATGAATAAACCGTGGGGCAGGAGCTAATGATTATTTTAGTAATCGATTATTCTGACAACCGGATAAAAAAAATTGGTACATTATGCAGATTTTCACTTAACCGCTTAAGCCTCTTTTATACAATATTAGAAATTCATGAGAAAATCCAAATAAACAAATAATTCAATCCTTTTTTTAAATAAGAAAATATTTTCTCACCTAAAATGTAATTACATAGCATTCCTTTTCTGTACGCTTGATCATTTGTAGTAAATGATGTCCATAGTTCATTTTTCTAAAGGATTTTTCTAAGAAGTGTCATGAATCATTAGTTTTATGAAACTCTTCTAAGTTGAATTGGTTGAATAAGACTTTGCACTGATTAAGAACAATAAATGTATTTGTTATTGAGCTCATATGCCTATTTATTCAATACTTTAGCAACAAAAAGGAGGTTTGAATT